ATGGTAAAAAACAGAAATATTCACAAATTCACCCACCGGAGATGACAAAGCTAGGCCTGGTGCCTGTTTCTGCCAGTAACATGTTCATATAAACAAAACTCCTGTTTCTTCCTGTACGTTATACAATGTTGTATCTTCCATTTTTTAAAACCTAAAGTGTTACTAAACCCAGGACCCTGCATTCACTATATCTGGTCTCCCACAGTACACACAACATGGAAATGCAATTATTTTAGTAAATATACACTGCTAAATACCTTTTTTTATCAGCACTATATAGCAGTCTTGTGTCTTCTATCAGAGTCCAGCTGAGAAGTGGTTAAAGCTTGTAGGAGGAGTTTTCATTCTGCTCTGACTGTCCTATGTGGCTGCATGACCCCTGACCCTCTGTCTGAACAGTGCTGATTGGCCTAAGCCGATCACATGCACTCTCCCCCCCAAAAAAAACCAAAACTCTAGCAATGCATACTAAACTGAACATGTGCAGAGTGACTCCTAGAGCTCTGTACTTCCAGCAAATGGATTGGGGACAATAGAAGCAGAGGATCATAGAAGTCAGGATCAAACAGCCTTTTTACACAATGCAGAGGATTATCACCTTAGGTTCCACAGTGAGTATAACAAGCATGCTTTACTGCATATACAGACTGATTTTACTGTTGTGGGTTTAGTAACATTTTAATATAAAACAGGATCACTATTAAAGAAGGCCAACCCTGTAAAAGAAGCCTATCTGTAATTTTTCAATGACCTTTCCAGGATCTAGGTCTTAAAAAGCCACCACTTTAATGCTCCTTTGGTGCTGCAGGTATTGGTCCTTTGTGGATGGCTCAAACACCTTTTTAAGCACTGCATGCAGGGGTTTCTTGTGCTTGTCTGCACATGTAATGATGTACAAGGTGGCAGAAAAAGCAGGTATTCACACAGCTGGGATTGTGGAGTACTTGCAGAAGCGAAGGAACAGTAAAGGGACGGTATTTCAAGACATAAGATGCCATAATAGTAAGCTTCTTTTACAAATGACTTCAGGAATGATCCATATAACAAAACTTTAAAGTGGAAGGTTACCCCCAGTGTTATTTAGTAAGCCAGACATTCAGAATATTTGTATGCTCTGGTGTAACAAAGGATAGCATTTAACCTGACAAATGTAGTTCAAAAAGGTATATTCTGGAAAAGTGTGCCATATTGTACATCGAGCTTCAAAACTCAACACTTAACCATGACTTAAAATTCAGACATTTATAGTGCATAACAATGGAGAACTAAAAGTTATATTTAGTTGTGGCAGCAGAAACAAATGAGCTTTTCTGCTGCCATAAATAGCTTACTTCAAACAATATGTAACTATTGCTACATACAATAAAAAGCCACCAGAGGTTGCAGGGTCTTCATGTGGCTTATCGCTTCTATAGTAGCACAGTCACAAACACAGTGCCCAAAGACTTTATAATATTTTACTTGTAGTGGACGGATTTTTGCATTCCCCATAAAATACCTTTCTTGAAGTCTATTGAGAGACATATTTCACATTCAGGAACTCTGGGTTATACTGCCACCCATAGCAGGATCAGACATAGTCCCACCTCTAGTTATCCTGCCCACACAATAACAACAACCAGCACAAGTGGGGAGAGAGCGAGATCCTCAATAGACTTCAAGAAAGGGATTTTAACCTCCCGGCCTTTTAAGGGTTTCAGAAGCCGGGAGGTGGGGCGGGGTTTAGAGACATGTGACTGCCGTGACACAACGCCACGGCGGTCACATGATCGAGAAAGGTCCCGATCGAAAGAGGAGATCGGGACCTTTCCATGAGTACCGACATGTGTGCTGGGAGCGCGCAAGGGTGTGCGCTCTCAGCACATATGTCTTTTTTTTAATAAAACACAAATGTGCGGCCGCTCGGCATCTAGGCCCTGACGCCAGGAGGCCGCACATTTGCTTTCGGCTGGCGCCAAGAGGTTAAGAAGTAATTGCCACAAAGAAAGCCACACTGTATCTGGCCTGCGCCATAAGAAAATTCTACACTATTTTGGTGCTGAAATTTTATCTGCAAACTTTACATAACTAAATTCTGTTAAAATGAAATAAGACATGTACTGCCAAGCCATTCTATTTTACTCTGTTCAACTCACATATGGTGTAAATTCTGATTTTAAAACAATGATCAAATTCAAGTATTTCAGAGACTTGGGGGTATCCTGTAGACAACCAATGCTTTCTAACAGGCTACTTTACCAGAAAAACGTGGATAATGCCGATGCCAAGGAAGTACCTTATCACTTTCAGAAATCTTAGGGTCTCTTCCATAAATAAGCATGTCGCCCTCTGCAGGAGAGAGCAGCAGCAAACTACAGGCACAGGCAAAACTGAGCATTCCCAACACTCTTACCCTAGGTTCACATCTGTGTGGGTGGTGCCACTGCGGATCCGCATGAAAATCTGTGCAGCTGCACCACCCGCACAGAGAAATGCGGACCCGCGGGTGGGTGCCATTAGTTCTAATGGCACGCCGTCCGCACTGGAAAACGCAACCGTACTGGGAACCGAGGTTCCTGTGTGGGCTGCGTTTTCAAAACAAGTGCAGGGACTTCTTCCCTGCGTGTCACGGGAGTCCATTCAAATGAATGGTTTCTCGTGACAGTGCAAAACGCGGCCCGCACGGCCGCATATATGTGAACCAGGGGTTAGGCATCATTCACACCCTACACGCAGAAAAACTGTTGGAAAAAACCCACAGATTTCACGTGCAGAGACATCAGTTTACATGCGTGTTTCAATGAGTTTTATACATGTTGAAGATTCCTGCTCAGAAAATCTGCACGTGATACTATGGCTTGGTGTGAACAGGGCACATAAAGAACTATTTTTTTTTTTTGTGCCCTTGCAGAACAACGAACGTCCCTGCACCATGGTGGGAACGAGGCCTTAAAGTGGAATGAAACCCACCAATGTAATAGTTTCCTAAAACAACTACATTCAAGGAATATCTTTAATGATAACTATCACAATTACAAAATGTGCTTTTGTAACCCGCTAAATGAACTGTCAGGCCCTCAAATGGCTGGTGTCATAGAGAATCACATGTGAAGCACCACGGCAACTGCAAATCAAACAGAGGCTATGATGGCAGCTTCCTTGGCTGTAAAGGATAGGAGGGCTGAGTTCTGCTTTAAGCATAAACTAAACCCAGGAACAAAAATGAAATATATTGCAGGTTACTAGTCCTTGGATATGGTGGCTGCATTTGTTTTTCTTTTAGCTATGAATATTTTTCAGTAGGTACAGAAAATACCTGCTGAACTTGCTTGGAATGTAGTGTCTTTTTCTGCAAGCCGACCTGGAAGAAAACACAATCCTATTTGTATAAACTACTAATCCAATTATCTCCCCTGTAACAGATGTGAATAAAGGCAGATATATTTAAAGTCACGCCTAGTTGGCAACCATGGCTCCAATCTTGCAGTGGAGTTTTACCCCCCCCCCCAGTTATTTGTAGGATCACCTGATGGAAAAAAGGGAAAATGCCTGAAAAAAAACTAATGCAGCCACCTCATCTAAGTACTGGTAAGCTGCAAAAGTTAAATTTTTTTTGTTTTAGGGTTTAGAAACAGATGAAAATACTGGCTTTCTAGCTGTAATTATTTTCTGAGTTTTTTTAGCTGTGAACCACAGGTTCCTCTTTCAATGTTAGTTTGCAATCATATTACTGTATTTGGATAAAAATATGCTGCAGACACGTGTAAAAGCTTTTTGTCTACCTATACAGAACACTAAGGCTTAGCACTTATGTAATATATCTGCAGCTCAATACATTATCCTTATCTGTCAATTTATTCACATCATGTTAAATGTTTAAAACATGTAATCCAGTTGGCACTGAGTGGATTTCATATATGTGTAATATTTCTGTAGATATATTATGCAGGATAATCAATATTAACGATCACTGAACATCAAATAAACTCCATTTTCCTGTATTAAACTATGGATGCTAAAAGACAGCTTCAAATGTTATATAGTATTCATTTATTGCAGGAGATGACCTTTATCTACATATACAGTAACCCTACAATAACACCAGTAAGTAGCAGAGGGCTGCCCTCTTCCATGGTTTACATTAGGTGAATGGTGAAGTCTGGCCATTCATATACATTGCTACTCATAGAGTACCTTTTGCGGTTCCAGATTTGGCAGTAGGTCATGCTGCTGTGAAATCTGCAATTGCAGTTCTCGGATGAGAGGAGTTTAAAGAGTGGCATCAGAGATGGAATTACCATTGAAAATTAAATATATACCTCTAACAAGGATAACGAGGGAGGAAAATATAACTGACTCCAGAAAAGAAGAAAAGCTTTGGCAAATAACAGAATAAACAATGGTCAAAATTTGAAAATAGAAAGACAAGTAAATATCTATTATTGATTAAAAAGAAATAATATATATTGCTACACAAGCAATTTTATAACTTAAAATGACTAAAAATGACCTCTCTGTTTTAGTTTGTAGCTATGTAACAGCCCAAAAACAAATGCTGCTTCTCTGTAACCATAACACCACAAGGGAGGAACACCTCCAGAACTGTAAATTCTAACTCGTAAGATTGGCTCACTAAGTTTTCCAACGGTTTTTCTTTCATAAAAACACTAAGGCTGATTGTATGATTATAGCAAGCAGGCAGTAGTAAATAACTTAAATTTATATTTTAGTACTGTTATACTTAAAAACCATCTGAAGAAAGCCCACTTTCATTTGCATACTTGCATTTGTAGTAATGGTGATCACAGATATTGTAACAAAGTCCGACATCTTCCACTGTAGGGATGCACAACGGGAACAAAACACAAAACTAAACATAAAAGAGGTAATAAATCCAACAATTATGCCAAAGTGGCTGTTATCCAGACCTTCTATTCAAACAGCAGCAGAAGTCCATATGGGCACCAAAATCAAGTATTCAAGTCTTGTGAAAATTTGGCATGGTATCCTTTGCTGGAGAATTAAGAGTGAGATCGCTTGCTACTATCATGTGTTACCTCCACCTCATCAAGCTCAGGCACTGGCACATTTACCTCCTGCTCCGGAGAGTCTGTGCTGTAGAGCTCCTCAGGAATGGTGGCCGAGGTGGGTGTGGTTTGCGGTGTTATTGTCTGACCAAACCCTTGATAATGTCCAGATGGGGATGGTGGAACAGAAGGTTCTGCGGATATGGGATCCTGAGTAGATGAAGAAAGCAAGCTGGTGTGCTCGTTTTGCTCAAGGTCTTCAGGAAAAAACATTTTTCTTGGTCTGCCCAAGACTGTTCTTCCTACAAAACAAAATACACATTCTTAGGTTTGAATAAACTCATGATGTGGATATCACATTTTGTGAAAGAGAGCCAACTTCCTCATATCCACTCCAGTAGTTTCCAAGGTCAAATACGAGGACACCATATGATCTATATAAGCAAGACCAGCAAAATCCAGCTGACCCATGAATTGAATGCCACCCTAGTTAGAAACCTCATAATTCCTGACAACTCTCACAAAGTCTACATCCTAAAGCCAGGACCACACAGAGCTAATATTTCAGTAGAACACATACTTCAGGATAGCAGCACACAAACCAAGCAGCTTGTAGGTTTCTTCAGGACAACAGCAAGAGATCACTGTGTGAGATCGACTAATGTAAAGTGGGCCTGTCATTAAAGTTGACATAGTAGTGCAAAAATGTGGCTACTGCTAGGGAGATTGGCTCACCTCCATCCTTCTCATGACTGTTCCAAACTTATATCAGCTAAATATGGATCTTGAAATAAGTGCAAATGATACATTGTACTGATTCAGCTTAGTTATAAGCCTTATGATTGAGCTGCATCAGTGAAAAGCACCAAATTGTTTGTTCATGCATTTTTCTACAGTTTAAATGAATAAAGAAGCTCTGGAGAAACACATGAAGTCTTTGTCAGTTTTATCAGATCACATATGAACTGTTGTTCCTCGATTTCCAATGCATACATCCTCTACAGTTGCAAGAAAAAGTATGTGAACCCCTTGGGATTACGTGGAGTTTTGCATGAATTGGACATAAAATGTGCTCTGAACGTCATCTAAGTCACAACAATAGAAGAACACAGTCTGCTGAACATAATACTACACAAACATTACATGTTGCCATGGTTTAATTGCACATAACATGTAAACATTTACAGTGCAGGGAGGAAAAAGTATGTGAACCTTTGGACTTAATAACTGGTTGACCCTCCTTTGGCAGCAATAACCTCAATCAAACATTTCCTGTAGTTGCAGATCAGACCTGCACAACGATCTGGAGTCATTTTGGACCACTCCTCTTCACAAAACGTTTCAGTGTAGCAATATTCTTGGGATGTCTGGTGTGAATCGCTCTCTTAAGGGTCATGCCACAGCATTTCAACTGGGTTGAGGTCAGGACTCTGACTGGGCCACTCCAGAAGGCGTATTCTGTGCTGTTGAAGCCATTGTTTTGTTGAATTACTTGTATGCTTTGGGTCATTGTCCTGTTGCATCATCCATCCTCTGCGGAGCTTCAGTTGGCAGACAGATGGTCTTACATTTTCCTGCAAAATGTCTTGATAAACTCTGGAATTCATTTTCCCATCAATGACAACAATCCATCCAGGCCCTGAGGCAGCAAAGCAGCCCCAAACCATGATGCTCCCTCCGCCAAGTTTTACAGTGGGGATGAGGTTTTGATGTTGGTGTGCTGTGCCTTTTTTTCTCCACACATAGTGTTGTGTGTTCTTTCAAACAACTCAATCTTGGTTTCATCTGTCCACAGTATATTTTGCCGGTAGTGCTGTGGAACATCCAGGTGCTCTTTTGCAAACTTCAAACGTGCTGCAATATTCTTTTTGGACAGCAATGGCTTCCTCCGTGGTGTCCTCCCATGTACTCCTTTCTTGTTTAATGTTTTCCTTATTGTAGATGTGTCAACAAAAATGCTAGCATGTGCCAGAGATTTCTGTAGGTCTTTAGCTGACACTCTGGGATTCTTCTTTACCTCATGCAGCATTCTGCGCTGTGCTCTTGCAGTCATTTTTACAGGACGACCACGCCTAGGGAGAGTAGCAACAGTGCTAAACTTTCTCCATTTGTAGACAGTCTGTCTTACCGTGGACACATGAACATCAAGGCTTTTGGAGATACTTTTGTAACCCTTTCCAGCTTCATGCAAGTCAACAATTCTTGATCGTAGGTCTTCTGAGAGCTCTTTTCTGCGAGGCATGGTTCACATCAGACAGTGCTTCTTGAAACCAGTAAACCCAAAACAGGTGTGTGTTTTTTAAGGGCAGGACAGCTGCCAGCAACACATCCAATATCATCACACTGATTGGAGTCAAGGTTGGCTCACTCCTGGCTCCAATTAGCTCTGGGAGAAGTCATTAAGTTAGGGCCTCACATACTTTTTCCTCCCTGCATTGTGAATGTTTACATGTTATGTGCAATTAAACCATGGCAACATCTAATGTTTGTGTAGTATTATGTTCAGCAGACTGTGCTCTTCTATTGTTGTGACTTAGATGACATTCAGAGCACATTTTATGCCCAATTCATGCAAAACTCCACGTAATCCCAAGGGGTTCACATACTTTTCTTGCAACTGTACATGTGGTGGTGCAGCTTTCTACATCAGCCACAACACAACTTACTGAAATGTGAAGAAGGTTTTGGACCTAAAGTCTGTACAAATCCTGCACAAGAATGAACTGATGATATTGATGATATATTTGTGCTGGGAAGTCCCTCTCCTCTAAGACAGCCTGAGACTGAAGCTGTGTCATGGCTCTAACATCAATTAGGTACTGTAATCCATCATTCATATATTGAAAGTCTGGGCTGGAAGAATCATATACTTCTCCACAAAACATTATTAATTTAAATACTACATGTTGCTTGCCAATAATTAAAAAGTGATTCTCCCTAGAAAACATTATTTTTCTAACTACCACAACATGCCGATAGTGGCAGCATAGAATCTATTGTTTTCAATTGCTCAGGAATTGTCCAATAAACAGGCAGTGAAGTAAATGGATTAGTAAGGCAAACAACTGTGCAGTACAACCTAGCAGGAAACAGAGAGAACATTATAATCAGCAAATAATGCTGCCCCCATGTACATGAAAAATTACAAACTATACATAGAAAAAAATACATCAATGCACACTGATAACATTTACAGGATCAAGTGCAGGTGAACACTGGAACAGGAAGGGAAGAAAAGACTCCCCAAAAGAATTCTTTAAGAATCATAATCTACAATATTGCATTTGGATTAATGTTTGCACAGATATTATTCAGTATATTAATTAAATTTTTCAAATTAAAATGTGGACAAGACCAGTGTTCTGCAGCAGCGTAGCACAGTTTTTAAAAGAAAATTTAATTTATGTGAATAAGGGGTATGTTTAATAAAAAGTGAATTTAACATTAACCAAACATTTGCTGCATTTGTATCTTCCTGATGTGTTGTGTATGTGTATTAACCTGAAGTAAATGTCAAAATCATAAATATGCCCCTTAGCTTCAACCCTTTCCACTGTCATCTGTACAGAAAGTGTGGAGAAAAATATAAATAAAGGCATGTGGGGGAAAAAAAAAAAGGATTTACACCCATCCTATTTGTTTGCAATATTTATATTTGCAATATTTGTCCTTGTATAATGAAGTGCCAACACAATTTTCCCATGATGTATAAAATAGCAGCAATTCCCTTACCAACATTGCGTACTTGCTCAGATATGTCTGCCCGTATATCCGATATATCCCACATGGCAAGAAATGAGTCAAAACATGAGCCTTCCTCTGCCTCCTGTACGTATGGTTTGTATGAAAAGCTGAAGTGATGGGCTATGGCAGCCAAGAACATTTCAACACAAATAATAAAATCCTGAAACAAAGAAGAAGCCATAAAAGGTGATTTGTCCTCACTAAAATCCCTATACATGTGTGTTTTCCCAAATTACAGGTTCAAGTCTTAATCAGGTTATAGGGAATTTCCAGGCACAGTGGGAGATTAACAAATAATTCCAGTTTGTGATCCACAGCAAGATATACAAAGTGATGTTGAACCATACCAAGCATGAAAACTAAAGCTTTAATTAGTAAGTTTACTTTATTTAATGTAGTCTTAAATTTTTTTTTTTTTTTTTTACAATTTTTTAAAGCCAAAATTTAACCTGGACTGTGCTCACCCTGAATTGTGGGGAGGCAGGGTATAGGATCACGTGTGCCATACCTAGAAGGTACCAGGAATTTCTTTGGACTATAATGATAGATGGAGATGCTGTAAAAGACTGGGAAAGAGAGTACTGAATGCTTATGGAGTTTCCTATGCAGTGCAACTTCTAACGGCTAGTGAGGCTGCCACCCATTTTTTGCAATTGGAAGGACCTTGGTGACGAACTTTTAGGTAGTATCAAAGTTTTACCTGCCAGAACTGGCTGTGACAGTAGGTTTTGAGAGGCTGTTGTATGTTTTGACACCTCTAGTTGCCTGCATTTTATATGGGTTTTTTCCCAAGGTGAAGTCTCCTTAAAGTGGAAGTAACTGCAACCAGGTAGCTCTTCACTGCAGAAGATACATACAATGTGTCTTCTAAAGTAAGACAAAAACGTACCTGCCTGTTTGCAGTATTCAATTCAAATACACTGTATCTAAGCACGGGAGTCATGTCATCCCTGCTGACTAATCAAGAGGCCAGACACCTGGTACCTAAAGGAAGATGTCAGCAGTCTGTGAGAGATCTAACGGTCCCATTACAGGAACAAAGATTAGTATACTACAGACTTTAGTTCTTCTTTAAGAATTATTCCATGCTCTCCTTTATTCTCCACTCTGAGAACAGAGAACAAAAAAAAGTCCGACATTCTCTACCTGTAATCTGTAATCTGCTGTTTGTTCAGTTTCTCAGCATTATGTAATCATTTATCCTACCACCTTTTTCAAACACGGTTAGTCTCCCTGTGCCTTTTTGTCCATGTCCAGTTTGTTCTGTTAAAATGTGAAGCCCCTATGCTGACCAAAAATGGCTGGTGGAACACCACAAACCTGACTGTCATTTCTAGCACAGCACAGTGAACCATAACAAGCCGAGATAAATAAAAAGAAAAAAAAAAATATATATATATTTTTTTTTCTATCTTGGGGCAACACAACCAAAATAAATATTAAATAATCTTATACATATTATATCATCAACATGTGATCAATAAAAAGTGTCCATTAAATTATAACTCACCCACCACTGTATCGTGCACCTAGTCTTTCTTTAGTTTCTTAAGAAAAAAAACATCCCTTATGATAAATGCATTCACCTGGTGCTTCAGTTATGTGCTCACCATCTCCTACTGACCTTAATATTAAACCAAGGTCAAACATGCACTTGTTGTGTAGAGAAAAACACTGGGTGATCTATTAGCGGCAACCTTATTTATTTCTATATAAGTTAGTTGATTAACTACAGATTGTTTTCCCTGGTGTTATACACAGGATATATTTATATGAACATGCACATACAGTGAGGAAAGTATTTTTTTTGATCCCCTGCAAATTTTGTAAATTTGTCCATTTACAAAGAAATGAAGGGCATATAATTTTTATCATAGGTGCATTTTAAAATGATAGAGACAGAACATAAACCACAAATCCAGAAAAAAAAAAAAAAAAATCACGATACAAATGTTATAAATTCAGTTGCAGTTCAGCGAGTAAAATAAGTATTGAATCCCCTACCAATCAACAATAATTCTGGCTCCCGCAAACTGGCTATGTGCTCATGTGGTACACAGATTAGTCCTGTCAATTTAAGAAGGTGCTCCTAACAACAATTTATTATGTGTATAAAAGACACATGTCCATAGAATCTCTTCCTTCCATTCAAACCTCACCACCATGGGCAAGACCAAAGAGCTGTCAAAGGACATCAGGGACAAAACTGTAGACCTGCACAAGGCTGGAATGGGCTATAAGACCATCAGCAAGAAGCTTGGTGAGAAGGAGACAACTGTTGGAACGATTATTCACAATTGGAAGAAATACAAAATAACATGGAGCTCCATGCACGATTTTGCCTCATGGTTAAGGATGATCATGAGAAAAGTGAGGGATCAGTCCAGAACTACATGGGAGGAGCTTGTGAATGATCTAAAGGCAGTTTGGACCACAGTCACCAAACAAACCATTGGTAACACAATACATTACTATGGATTGAAGTCCTGCAGTGCCCACAAGGTCCCCCTCCTCAAGAAGGCACATGTACAGGCCCATCTGAAGTTTGCCAATGAACATCTAAATGATTCAGAGAAGGATTGGGAGAAAGTGCTGAGGTCAGATGAGACCAAAATTGAGCTCCATGGCATTAACTCGACTCACCATGTTTGGAGGAAGGAAAAGGCTGACCAAGACCCTTAGAACACCAGCCCTACAGTCAAGCACGGAGGTGGAAACATTATGCTTTTGGGCTGTTTCTCTGCTAAAAGGTACATGGTCAACTTTCCTACATTGAGGGGCTAATGGACAGGGCCATGTATTGTAAAATCTTGGATCAGAACCTTCTTTCCTTAACCAGAACACTGAAGATGGGTCGTGGATGGGTCTTCCAGCATGACAATGACCCAAAACAAACCACCAAGGCAACAAAAGGAGTGGCTCAAGAAGAAGCACACTAATATCATGGAATGGCCTAGCCAGTCTCCAGACTATAATCCTATAGAAAATTTATGGAGGGAGCTGAAACTTCGAGTTGCCAAGCGACAGCCAAGAAACCCTAAGGATTTAGTAGAAGATATGTAAAGAGGAGTGGACCAAAATCCCTCCTGAGATGTGTGCAAACCTGGTAACCAACTACAAGAAACGTCTTACCTCCTGCTTGCTAACAAGGGTTTCTCCACCAAGCACTAAGTCATGTTTTGCTTGGGTATCCATTACTTATTTTACTCACTGAACTGCAACTGAATTTATAACATTTGTATCATGTGCTTTTTCTGGATTTGCAGTTAATATTCTGTTTCTATCATTTAAAATACACCTACGATAAAAATTATAAACCCTTACATTCTTCGTAAATGGGCAAACTTACAAAATCTGCAGGGGATCAAATAAATATTATCCCCACTGTATGTACACATGTAAGCTATACAAGCAGCATGTAGTAGAAATCAATCTGGCATTATTACACAACAAGGCTCCGATCAGGTGTGACTGATGGCTACAAAATACAACTGTATGCTACTTGTGTAGCATACTTCATAGGGAGCAATTTGTTCTGTTTAACAATCATTTAGGCTAAGGGATGTTTTTTGAGTTGCAGAGGTGAATTTTATAGCAAATAAAAAATTTGAAAAAAAAATGTGCGTAACAGTCAAAAAATATGTAAAAGCTGCAGAAAATAACAGCAGAAGGTGCCAAAAGCCACAAGTGAGTAATGAGGCCCTAGCTAAAAATGACTGCATTAGATGATGGTTGTACCTTGTGTAATGACCTAGTCACCTAAAGACTTGTTTTTCACCCAAACAATACCTACATTTTTTATATAGTATAGCCATAACAAATGACTAGAACCACAGCATCAAGCATCCATCTGATCTGATAGAACAATGAGGATTTGGTAAAAATCCAACCCTTGGTTTTTCAACCCAAAGAATGCACTGACAAAACCAGAGATGTACCTGCAGTCCTGTTGCCACGTCCTTGACAGACTTCCAATCCCATGTATGTTTATCAGAAATAATACCAACTTTAACCATGAGTGCAATCAATACTGCTTGCCTGATAAAAAAAAAAAATAAACAATGTATCACTTTATATGATGCAACAAATAGTATACACGACATACTGGCTCAGGTTTATTTTTTTAGAATTATTAACAGGTTATAAAACGTACAAATGTTAAACCTACTCTACAATAATTTTTTCACATAATTGTGGTAAAGGCTGGGAGACACTTGTCCACTTTGAAAAGAGGCTTGTAGACATCTAGTGATAATTCAACACTACACCTTCTCATCTTGACCACCTTGCTCAGGTTATTATACATTTAAAAGCCCTGTAATATGCCTGCTGCAAAGATAACAGCTCTGTGTTTACACAACAGGAAAGGTGTCATACAGTAGGGAAAATTATTATTTGCCCACTTACAAAGAAATGGTCTATAATTTTTATCATAGGTGTATTTTAAATGATAGAGACAGAGTATCAACCAAAAATCCAGAAACAACATCATACAAATGTTATAAATTGAGTTGTAGTTCAGTGAGTAAAATAAGTATTTGATCCCCAAGAAAAACATGACTTAGTACTTGGTGGAGAAACCCTTGTTGGCAAGCACAGAGGTAAGATGTTTCTTGTAGTTGGTTACCAGGTTTGCACACATCTCAGAAGGGATTTTGGTCCACTCTTCTTTACAGATCTTCTCCAAGTCCATAAGGTTTCTTGACTGTCGCTTGACAACCCGGAGTTTCAGGTCGCCCCATAAATTTTCTATAGGATAAAGGCTAGGGCACTCCATGACCTTAATATGCTTCTTCTTGAGTCAATCCTTTGTTGCTTTGGTGGTATGTTTTGGGTCACTGTCATGCTGGAAGACCCAGCTACAACCCATCTTCAGTGTTCTGGCTGACAGAAGACGGTTCTCATCCAAGATTTTACAATACATGGCCCCGTCCATTGCCCCCTCAATGCGGCAAAGTGGGCCTATACCTTTAGCAGAGAAACAGCCCGAAAGCATAATGTTTCCACCTCCGTGCTTGACTGTACGGCTGGTGTTCTTAGGATCATAGTCAGCATTTTTCCGCCTTCAAACATGGTGAGTTGAGTTAATGCCAAAGAGCTCAAATTTGATGTCATCTCCTCTGAATCATTTAGATGTTCACTGGCAAACTTCAGATGGGCCTGTACATGTGCTTTCTTGGGGAGGGGACCTTGTGGGCGCTGCAGTATTTCAATCCATGGCAGTCTATTGTGTTACCAATGGTTTGTTTGGTGACGATGGTCCCAACTGCCTTGAGATTATTCACAAGCTCCTCCCATATAGGTCTGAGCCGATCCCTCACTTTTCTCATGATCAGCTTTAACCCATGAGGTGAAATCTTACATGGAGCTTCAGACTGAGGGCGATTGATGGTATTTTGTATTTCTTCCGTTTGTGAATAATCGCTCAGTTGTCTCCTTTTCACCAAGTTTTTTGCTTATGGTTTTGTAGCCCACTCCAGCCTTGTGCAGGTTTACAATCTTGTCCCTGATATCCTTTGACAGCTCTTTGGTCTTGCTCATGTTGGTGAGGTTTGAATGGAAGAAAGAGATTCTGTGTACAGGCGTCTTTTACACACATAAGTTGTCGTTCGGCAGCAGCATCTTCCTAAATTGACAGGACTAATTTGTGTACCACATGAGCACATAGCCAGTCTATGGGAGACAGAATTATTGTTGGTTGGTAGGGATCAAATACTTATTTTACTCACTGAACTGCAACTCAATTTACAACATTTGTATCATGTGTTTTGTCTGGATTTTGGGTTAATATTCCATCTCTAGCATTTAAAATACACCTATGATAAAAATTATAGACCCTTCATTTATTTGTAAGTGAGCAAACTTACAAAATCTGCAGGGGATCAAATAATTATTTTGCCACTGAATGCTGAGGCAATAGGTCATGTGATCTTGGGTATTTGGTCATATAGAACAAAGATTGAAAGGGTTTAAAATTTTGAGTTCAACTTTATATTTACACAAATATGTTAAAAGAATAGAATTTGTATTAAAGTGCAAATAAAATAATCCACATGCAGACAAAAAATGCAAATACACTTGTGTTATACCACCAAATGTCACTTGTATAGCAGAGAACTGCCTAATTTCTGGTGTTCACAATGAATATTCCTTAGGCATATTAAAGGTAATGTGGTCATATTTACACAAGTGTCAGTTTTTAATTTTCTAATTGTACAGGGCCAGAAATATCTTTATTACAGGAAGGGAAGAGTGCTATGCCTAACACTTAACCTGGATCAGACAACTACTTAATTGGCATACATTTAAGAACAAAATAAAACTTGTGGCTCCATTCACACAAATAATTCGACTTGCGACATAAAGTCGCATGACAAGTTAAAACTTATTTCAATGGCAACTCTTTCCAATCTATGCAACTAAAGTTGCAACTTCTTTAAAGAAGGTTCCTGCACTACTTTGATGTGACTTTTTTACGACTTGAATGCTATAGAGTGTAATAAGTTGCATTAAAGTTGCACTGGAAATCGCACAACTTTAGGGTAGCACTAGTGTGTGAACTGAGCCTTCTGTAGCTTTACAAGTCTTAATCAATAAATTCCTGACAAATGACAACATACAGTTAAGTCCATATATATTTGGACAAAGGCACAATTTTTATACTTTTGGCTCTGTATGACACCAGAATAAATTAAAACAAAACAATTCAAATTAATCTGAAGTGCAAACTTTCAGCTTTAATTCAAGGGGTTGAACATAAATATCAAGTACAAATTTCAGGAACTGCAACCATTTTTTATACACAATCCCTCCATTTTCAGGGGCTCAAATGTAATTGGACAAATGAATATAATCATAAATTAAATGTTCATTTTTAATATTTTGTTGAGAATCCTTTACTGGCAATGACTGCCTGAAGTCTGGAACCCCTGGACATTACTAAAGACTGGGTTTCCTCCTTTCTGATGCTTTGCCAGGCTCTAACTGCAACTGTCTTCAGTTGTTCTTTGTTTGTGGGTCTTTCTGCCTTTAGTTTTGCCTTTAGCAAGTGAAATGCATGCTCAATTGGGTTGAGATCAGGTGATTGACTCGGCCATTGCAGAATATTCCACTTCTTTTCCTTCAAAAGCTCCTGGGTTTCTTTTGCAGTGTGTTTTGGATCATTGTCCATTTGTACTATAAAGCGCCGTCCAATCAACTTTGCTGCCTTTGGCTGAATCTGGGCTGACAGTATATCTCTAAACACTGCAGAATTAATCCGGCTGCTTCTGTCTTCCATCACATCATCAATAAACATCAATGACCCAGTGCCACTGGAAGCCATGCATGCCCATGGCATCACACTGCCTCCACCATGTTTTACAGATGATGTTGTGTGCTGTGGATCATGGGCTGCTCCAAGCCTTAATCTTAGTTTCTTCCGTCCAAAGAATGCTTTTCCAGAACTGGTCTGGCTTTTTTAGATGTTGTTTGGCAAATTCTAATCTGGATTTTCTATTCTTCAGGCTTATGAATGGTTTGCGCCTTGTGGTGAACCCTCTATATTTGCTCTCGTGAAGTCTTCTCTTGATTGTAGACTTTGACAATTAAATGCCCACCTCCTGGAGAGTGCCCTTCACTTGTCTGAATGTTGTGAATGGGTTTTTCTTTACCATAGAGAGGATCCTGCGATCATTCACCACGTTTGTCTTCCATGGACCTCCATGCCTTTTTATGTTGCGGTGTTCACCAGTGCGTTCTTCTTTTCTCAGAATGTACCAAACTGTTGATTTGGCCACTCCTAATGTTGCTGCTATCGCTCTGATGGATTTGTTTAATTTTTGAAGCCTTACAATGGCTTGTTTCACTTGCATGGACAGCTCCTTTGAACGCATGATGTAGGTTCACAGCAATAGATCCCAAATACAAACACCACACTTAGAATCAACTCCAGACCTTTTACCTGTTTAATTGATGAAGAAATAACGAAGGAGTAGCCCACACATGGCCATGAAACAGCTTTGGATTCAATTGTCCAATTACTTTTGGTCCCTTCAAAAAGGGGGGATGGCTACTCTTAAGAGCTGTAATTCCTAAACCCTTCCTCCAATTTGGATGTACATACCCTCAAATTAAACCTGAGAGTGTGCACTTTCAGCCCATATCCATATATAACTATAGCTTGAATATATTTTGGTAAATACCTGAAAAAATCTAAAATTGTGCCTGTGTCCAAATATATATGGACCTAACTGTATAGCAGTATAATTTGTTTTCATTAAAAATCTGACCTTGAGCACCACGCACGCAATGTTGCCTAGTCTGAGACAATCTGTTTAAGGTAGGCAGGAGGAAGTATTCATTTTGTTTCCCCCCACTGATAAGACTGGACCTTTTTAGCTAGTCTCAAGGTGAAAGCTTGCAGCAGGGGTCAATTGTCTCAGCCATGTGTGAACACAGCCAAGAACTGCATGACAGTTACATGACAGTTGGGTTGTTTTATTATAGGCAAATAGGCTATTCACTTTGCAAAAGAATTTTCCCTAGAACTTAGTGAATATAGTAACATTTCTCCTTGCAAATAATACCCAATCATGTGCAAAAAAAAATAAAAAAAAAAACCCCCAGCAATTTGGCTTGTACATGATTGGATGATGGAAAGCAGCATAGCTTCGCCTCATTCAGTAGGCATTCGTTTTCTCTGTCCTCCCAACCCCCTTATTTTTAGCTGGTAATCCAGCCAGTAAATATAGATATTTTTTAATTCCTTTAACAGACCAAGCTGTCCAGCAAAAATGGTAGTTTTTTAAATGACATACCATTTAACAGTGACAGGATTAATTAATTTATGTAAAACTTTCATCCCAAAAGGAAAAAAACTGTTGCTGTAACTGCTCTAAAAAACGTCAGTATTCACTTTTTGTCAAGTCTGTCAAGTCCATCTAAATCTGCATCTAGCACTACCCTCTCCACAGGCTGAAAATGCTGCTGTATGAAAGTTGTCTCTGTTGCCCCATCATGCAGAGTGGAGACACCCTAGGGCAGAAAGTGTGTTACAGGCTGGATCACTGGGTAAAAATAAAGGAAAAAAAGGTTAAGAAAAGAAAATAAATGCAGCCACTACATTTGAGGATTGATAAGCTGCAGTATATCACATTTTTGTTTTTGGGTTTGATAGCACTTTAAATATGTATCTAAAAGATACCCATTTCCATAGTCACTAGTATCTAAATGGGGTAGAAGAATCAGGCAATACAGGCAAACAGAAAGTATGAAGCAGTGTATGTTCCCTCATGGACAGTAATAGCATCTTTATGAAATCAATAAAGACATTTTAGCTAATGAAAAGACAACAACTTTAACCAACATGGATGTTGGTGTCGCATTTACAACAGTTATAGCCCAACAGGAGCACCAGGGGCATGCGCTTCTACTGCCAGCACTAGAGTGCATTGCAGATTAAGAGTTAGGAATTCAATAAAGCTAAGGGTCAGGATGCTATATTTCTTTCAGGATAAACAAGTATTTTTTGTACTTGCATAATACTTAGCTTACAAAAAAAAAAACACCTAACAGAGCCACCACACTTAAGAAACGGTAAGATGCAGTATATATTACATTTTTAACCTCTTGCCGTCCGCCTGCTGTTTATAAACGGCAGGGCAGTGGCAGTACAGGAGCACCCGCCTTTTCTAGCTGTGCGCGCTCCCTGGGAGCGCGCACCACCGCGATCTGGTGCCCGCTGTGTCCTCCGGACACAGTGAAACACCGATTGTCGGACGGGACCTCTGTACGAGGGTACCGATCATGTGATCACTGATTGGCGAATCAGTGATCACATGTAAAGTAGTAAGCAAGATGTCACTTGTGACATCATTGCTTACTGCGTGTGAAATCTGTGAATGATCACAGAGGTCACATGGTACAAGGCTAGTCACAACAGCCTTGTACCATGTGACAAGCTGTGACCAATCACAGCTCACTCAGTATTTCTCAATGACTGCAAGAATGCAGACAGAGAGAAAGAGAAATGATTTTACATCCTCTATGGGTGTAAAAGCAATCCGTTTAAAAAAAAAAAAAAAAAAAAAAAAAAAAATCTTCATCACCCCCCCCCCCCCCCCCCAAGTAGTACAGTGCCACCATGGTGACACTGTACTGCTAGGGTGACAGTATATAAAAAAATAAAAAAAAAATAAAAAATAATATAAAAAAATAAAATAAAAATTGTAAAAAAAAATGTTTAAAAATTATAATTTTTTTTGTTATAAACTAATTTGGATTTTTTTTTTTACTAAAAAAATAACGGAATAAATTTTGGCCAAGATTTATGATGAAATATTATTTATTAGCAAAATTTTATAAAAAAAAACAACACTATTTTTCTAAATTTTTGGACTTTTTCATTTACATAGTAAAAAAAATAAAAATCCCAGTGGTGAATAAATACCACCAAAATAAAGCTTTATCTGTCTCAAAAAAATGGTAAAAAATTCATATGGGTACAGTATGACCGCACAATTGTCATTCAAAGTGTGATAGCGCTGAAAGCTGAAAATTGCCCTGGACAGGAAGGGGGTAAAAGTGTCCGGACAGGAAGTGGTTAAAGGATAAGTTCACCTTTGGAACATGTTCCACCCATTTTTAGGCTGGATGTTCCAGCATCTGCAGCCTCCTCCTAACCCCAAAAATCTCTCCACCCTGGGACAGCGGGCAAGGGATCCTCTCCTCGTACCCACGGTCAACTGGCCACTGTCGGTGAACTTGGCCTTTAATTCTAGGGTTAAAATACACTTCAACTGCTTTGTGGTACATGGCTGAAAAAAGTCTAGAAAACATTGACTTGAGCATTTCAAAAGGCAGATTTGTAGTATGAAACTAAACATAAAGCAGAAAGGAAAGAAAATTATGGGTTTTTTTGCATATTTTTATATGTTAATCTTCTATTTCCTAGCAGGACATGTTGTCAGGAAATTATGGGAAGTCTGTTTTACTAGTTAGTACCAGACAAATCCACCTAAGGGACTCACCAGAATGACACAAACACGACCAGTTTTACACACAGAAATTTGCCCACTGGCTGGATTGGGTTCAGCTCTTCTTTCAGTACTATATAGAACAGGACAAGACAATACATAGCAAACTGGAAAAGAAATTTAACAAAAATTAACACAAAAATGCAATAGAAAATCAGGATATAAAGCTACAGATACAGCATTCCTATACAGTGAGGAACAGAAGTATTTGAACACCCTGCGACTTTGCAAGTTCTCCCACTTAGAAATCATGGAGGGGTCTGAAATTTACATTGTAAAGTGCATTCCCACTCTGAGAGACAGAATTAAAAAAAAAAAAAAAAAAAAAAAAAATCAGGAAATCACATTGTATGATTTTTAAAGAATTTATTTGTCTTGCACTGCTGAGCATAAGTATTGAACACCTGAGAAAATCAGTGTTAATATTTGGTACAGAAGCCTTTGCTTGCAATTACAGAGGTCAAACGTTTCCTGTAGTTCTTGACCAGGTTTGCACACACTGCAACAGGGATTTTGGCCCACTCCTCCACACAGATCTCCTCTAGATCTGTCAGGTTTTGGGGCTGTCGCAGAGCAACACAGAGTTTCAGCTCCCTCCAAAGATGTTCTATTGGATTTAGGTCTGGAGACTGGCTAGGCCACTCCAGAACCTTAATATGCTTCTTACGGAGCCACTCCTTGGTTATCCTGGCTGTGTGCTTCGGGTCGTTGTCATGTTGGAAGACCCAGCCACGACCCATCTTCAATGCTCTGACTGAGGGAAGGAGGTTGTTGCTCAAAATCTCACAATAAATGGCCCCATTCATCCTCTCCTTAATACAGTGCAGTTATCCTGTCCCCTTCAAAGAAAAGCGCCCCCAAAGCATGATGTTACCACCCCCATGCTTCACAGTAGGGATGGTGTTCTTGGGATGCAACTCATCCTTATTTTTCCTCCAAACACAACGAGTGAAGTTTAGACCAAAAAGTTCTACTTTGGTCTCATCTGACCACATGACTTTCTCCCATGCCTCCTCTGGATCATCCAGATGGTCATTGGCAAACTTCAGACGGCCTGGACATGTGATGACTTGAGCAGGGGAACCTTACGTGCAATGCATGATTTGAAACCATGACGGCGTAGTGTTCTACCGACAGTGACCTTTGAAACTGTGGTCCCAGCTCTCTTCATGTCATTGACCAGCTCCTCCCTTGTAGTTCTGGGCTGATTCCTCACCTTTCCTATCATCAGTGATACCCCACGAGGTGAGAACTTGCATGGAGCCCCAGTCCGAGGGAGACTGACAGTCGTCTTTAGCCTCTTCCATTTTCTAACAATTGCTCCAACAGTTGATCTATTTTCACCAAGCTGCTTGGCAATTGCCCCGTAGCCTTGTGGAGGTCCACAATTTTGTCTCTGGTGTCTTTTGACAGCTCTTTGATCTTGCCCATGGTAGTAGTTGGCGTCTGACTGACTGTGGGGTTGACAGGTGTCTTTAAAGAGCTCAGACAGGTGCTACTAAGTTAGATTAATGAGTGGAGTAGAGGTGGACTTTTTAAAGGCACAGTAACAGGTCTTTGAGAGCCAGAATTCTTGCTGTTTCTTAGGTGTTCAAATACTTCTGTTCAGCAATGCAAGACAAATTCTTTAAAAATCATACAATGTGATTTCCTGAATTTGTTTTTTAATTTCTGTCTCTCAGAGTGGGAATGCACCTACAATGTGAATTTCAGACCCCTCCATGATTTCTAAGTGGGAGAACTTGCAAAATCGCAGGATGTTCAAATACTTCTGTTCCTCACTGTGCCACTGTCACATGCATGACATCACTATGGAGATCTCAGAGCCAAGATAATCATGTACTTGAACATATTCCTGGTATGTAGTATTGCTCCTGTGTTGTCGGGTGCAATATATAATTCCAGCTATTTTCAAAATGGTGAGGTTAAGGACATCCAATCTAATTCAGCTCTGCATTTATTAATACGTCATTAAATATATTGTTATATAAATGCAAGCAGTGAATTTAACCTGCCATTAGCATGCTGCACTCTCTGTACAACAAAGCTCAGACTAGAGATGGGAAGGCCTGGGAGAAAAATAAAAAACTATTTTCCGTTTTTTTTTCCAAAGCCATTTTTGTTTTTTTTTTCCCGAAAAATTGGAAAAAAAAAAAAAAAAAAAAAAAAAAAAGAAGTGTGGAGTATGTTCTTTTATAATGATAAATATTATATCTATACCATGGTATTCAAACTATAGAACGTTAACACCTTGATTAAAGATTCTGAGACTTTATGTAATATTCTCTCAGCTGAAGACAAGCAAATCTTGGAATACAATTCAAGAAACACTGTACTTCTCAATGCAGTTTTCAAACAAAATTAGTATATCTTTATATCCTTTAAAACAGGGGTCCTCAAACTTTTTAAACCGGGGGGCCAGTTCACAGACCTTCACACTGTTGGAGACAATGGTTTGAAAAGAATATGAACACATTTCTATGCACACCGCACATATCTTACTTGTAGGGCAAAAAAAAAAAAACAGGAAAAAAACAATACAATATTTCAAATGCACTGTACACTGTAACGCACTGGACACCGCAATGCACTGTACTCGAATGCACTGGACACTGCAATACACTGTAATGCACTGGACACCGCAATGCACTGTACTCTTAACGCAGTGGACACTGAAATGCACTGTACACTAACACACTGGACACCGCAATGCACTGGACTCTAACGCACTGGACACCAAAATGCACTGGATACTGTAATACACTGTACACTAACACACTAGAAAACCTCAATGCACTGTACACTAAAATACACTGTACACTAACGTACTGGACACCGCAATGCACTGTAAACTGTAAGACAATGAACTCCAAAATGCACTGTAAACGCACTGGACACCGCCATGCACTGTACTCTGTAACACACTTGGCACCGCTATGCACTGTACTCTGTAATGCACTGTACACTGTAACACACTGGACACCGCAAGGCACTGGACACCGTTAACATGCTGTACTCTGCAATGCACTGTACACTGATACACTGGACACCACAATACACTGTACCTGGTGCCTGGTGTGCTCTCCTCCACTCCTGTTGCTCCTCTGGCTGCAGCAGGTGAAATCTGGGGCTTCCAGGCTGCATCTCACTGGGTCCTCGCGCCCAAGGCCCCAGCGAGTAGCCTAGCTATTTCCCGGCCGGCACTAGTTTTGCCGCGGGCCTTAGTTTGAGGACCCCTGCTTTAAAACATCCTATTCATGTTCTCCACAATCACAGCATAATAAATACCTATAGTTTGGTCAGTAAATAGTTATTTTTCATTAAAATGGTGAGACCATCATCTAGAGCAGTGTTTCTCAACCAGTGATCCATGAGAGGTCACCAGGTGTTCCACAATAATCTGCCCATCCTTTACAAGCAGAATATGGATAGAGTGCATCCCCATATAGTTGACAGTCAAACTGCAGAGCCAGAGTGGAAAACAACTTGCAACACTGTCCTGTGTTGATCCCAGCCAGTCCTTCTCTCCTGTCTGTCCCAGAAGACTCTGTGTAACATCACTCAGGAGAGAAGAGAGAGGAGGGCGGTGGGGATTAGCATTCCAGATACAATCCAGAAGCTTTCCTAAACTACTCTGCATGAGGAAGTTCGCTACAGACACCAGTATTATGCCCTCCAGTACTGTTTCCTCCTGTACTATGCTCTGCTCTACTGGCCCACTTATACCGCTCCCTTCCTACCCCCCTATACTGTTCTCTCCTGCCCCCCCCCCCCGTACTATTCCTTCTTGCCCCCCCACCTCCCTCCCCCCCCCCCCTATACAGTTCTCTCCTTGCCCCCCTGTACTATGCCCTTTTGGATCCCCTGTGTTCTGGCCTGCTGACCTCCTGTACACTGCTTATCTGAAGTATGACCCAGAATTGAGCATCTGTGCAAAAAAGCAAGCACACGTTTCACATTAAGGAGGTACATTTTAATATTTATCCTATTGTTTAATGCTGTAAGAATAATTGTTGTTATATCGACATCTAGCTGATCACATCAATATTCCGTGAGCTGTACATATGAATATTATTTCAGGGGTTCCCAGCAATTGCAGACTTTATGTCAGGGGTTCCTCAAAAAGGTAAAAAGGGCAATTTCTGCTGAGAACAAAGCTGCAATTTGCAGTGTAAAAAAATGTTCAATTTGTAAAACTACTCCACACTAAAATGTTTACATTTTTCCAAAAAACTTCCTTTTTATAAAAAAAAATAAAAAAATTTTTTTCCCCATGGCTTCAAATATTCTGGAAATTTTACATCTCTAGCTCAGATTTGGGGACGGAGAAGCAGCATACAGAACTAACCAGTTTTGCTGCAGTACTCATTCAATGGTAGGAGAAAAGATCAGAGTGACAGATGAGCTCATCAGTCTGCTGTTTCTCCTTTACTGTCCAATCACAGGCTGGGGGAGGCACAAATGCTGTAAGGGATATTTAACTACAGAAAAAGCAGATCTCCTGCCCTGCCAGACAGAGTTGGCAAGTCTCTATGAGGCAGACCTGTTAAAATCATAGGGCTGGATGGACAGAAAATTAAAAATCCTTTGTACAACTCCCTTACATGTAATTCATCTGTGTATTTAGTGGTTTTCCTGTAATTTTGCTTTATTATCCAAGCATGTTACTTCTGACCTAATAATGTAAAATAATGCAAAGTAAATAGCACAGGACCCAGTTCCCTCAGCTAGCCTTTTATGGAGCAATGAATAGTGATTTTACATTTTATCTACACATCACCAACAACAAAATGGCCAAACGAATTGAAGAAAATTCTACTACAACTCAAAAAGCCATTTCTAGGCATAAATATGACTCACCACTTGCGACGCATTGTTGATTATAACCAAGTATGTCCATACATTTTTTAAGTTAAAGTCGCCTTCCCCATAGACGCCAGCCAACTGACAAATCCTGAAACATACAGAAGAGTAAAGAACTTTATCTCAATATCACATATTATTTTACATCTAAGCAATGCAACAGAACTCAAATCCCCCTGGCCTCAACATCAGAAACTAAATGGAACCAGGTTATCTGTGCTCTCCAGAAAAAGTATATCCATTGCCTGAGGCTGCCAAAGTGTTTGCTTGTTTTGGTGCGCTAAAGAACATACTAGAATTGATCATGCATGCTGTGAGCACAAAAAGGGAGAACAGACTGCTGTATTTTGCTACCTAAATCCAAAATCAGCAGCATTTTACTCAAAGCAATAGCCAGGGAGAGTAAGTATGGGGAGGAAAGTACTTGATGATGCTAGACATCCTCTAGCCAGATGAGGTAAGCTCTATCTGACTTGCTGCAGGCTCTAATGCACACTGCGTGAAGCTCCTGATTGGACAATGAAAGAGCAGCAGCCTGAATGATTAGGTTAATTCTCTGCTCACACTGCTCTCTCCTTGTCAGTTTTGTCCTTGTCAGCACATCTGCAAAAGGAATTCCTGATTGGGAGACTAGAGGGAAAGGCAAAGCTAAGAGCAAAATGGCTGCTGTAGTGTGTCTTTTATATCGGTCTCAAGTTTAGCTTTCAATTTATAGAATAGATCTGCTTTACTATGCCTGGTGTAGCTAATCCCTTAAAGTAAATCATAAGCACGTAAATGCTTCTCAACAGCTCACAGCATCATTCAGTGAACCCCCCCCAAGAAATCAATTTGGCATACTTACAACGCAATTATAGTGGTGACGGGCCGAACCACTGTATACTGCAGCACACCCAATTTGCATCTAAACAGTAACACCCTGAAAGAGAATTCACACACCAGTCAGCTAGTTAGAAAAGGAACACTTTTTAATCAGTGTATAGCATCAAGTCAATTAAACTCCTGGGATATTGATCTGGTCAGTTAAGTAGCAGAGGGGGTTGTTAATTTCATTAACACCAAAGCAGCTGAAACTGATTAACAATAGGTGCACTAGATGGGCAACAATGAGACGACCCCAAAAACAGTAATGGTTTTAAAGGTGGAGGCCACTGACATTTTATTCTCTACTCATCTTTTCTGTTTTCATTAGTTTTGCATTTGGCTAGGGTCAGTGTCACTACTGGTAGCATTAGGCAATACTTGGAGCCTCCAGAGGTTGCTCAGGCAGCACAGCTTCTCTATGATGGCACATCAATTAGTGCCATTGCCAAAAGGTTTGCGGTGTCTCCCAACACAGCCTCAAGAGTATGGAGGAGATTCCAGGAGATGGGCAGTTACTCTAAGAGAGCTGAACAGGGCTGTAGAAGGTCCTTACCTTAACCCATCAGCAGGACCGGTATCTGCTCCTTTGTGCAAGGGGGAACAGGATGAGCACTGACAGAGCCATACAAAATGACCTCCAGTAGGCCACTGGTGTGAATGTCTCTGACCAAACAATCAGAAACAGACTTCATGAGGGTGGCCTGAGGGCCCGAAGTCCTCTAGTGGGCTCTAGGCTCACTGCCCAGCACCATAGAGCTCAATTGGCATTTGCCATTGAAAACCAGAATTGGCAGGTCTGCCACTGGCACCCTGTGCTTTTCACAGATGAGATCAGGTTCACCCTGAGCACATGTGACAGATGTGAAAGGGTCTGGAGAAGCCGTGGAGAACATTATGCTGCTTGGTAACATTAAACGTTTTGGTGGTGGGTCAGTGATGGTCTAGGGAGGCATATTAATGGAAGGACACACAGACCTCTACAGGCTAGACAATAGCACCCTGACTGCCATTAGGTATCAGGATGAAATCCTTGGACCCACTGTCAGCCCCTATGCTGGTGGAGTGGGTCCTGGGTTCCTCCTGGTGCATGACAATGCCTGGCCTCATGTGGCGAGAGTATGCAGGCTGTTCCTGGAGGAATTGATACCATTGAATTGCCCCTACGCTCGCCTGACTTAAATTCAGTAGAACAGCTCTGGGATATCACGTTTCGGTCCATCTGACGCCGCCAGGTTGCACCTCAGACTATCCAGGAGCTCCGTGATGTCCTAGTCCAGATCAGGGAGGATATAGCCCAGGACACCATCTATCGTCTCAGAAGCATGCCCTGACATTGTCAGACATGCATACAAGCACATGGGGGCTATAAAAACTACTGAGTACCATTTTGAGTTGCTGTAATGAAATTTCAGCAAAATGAACTAGCCTACTGCATCATTTTTTCACTTTGATGTTGGTGGTGTCTTAATTCAGTCCTCTGTAAGTTTATCATTTTCATTTCCATCAAACGATGGGGCATCCTTACACATCCTAACACATTACTCAGTTCATATCAGTATAGATATCCAGCATGATATTTTTTCCCCATTGAGATCTGATGTGTTTTTCAAAGTGTTCCTTTAATTTTTTTGAGCAGTGTATATATATTTATTACACACACACGTTGTCTTAAATTAATGTGGAAGGATGATTTATATAATTAAGATACAGATAATCTGTTGTCTTATCTCATGAAGAAGATGGATGAGTGTATATTTATAAATGTATTTTCCCGCAGCAACTAGTCCAACAGTTCTTTTCCAGAAGATGCATTTAATCAGTTCAGCGACAATCCATAAAACAGACAAGGCAGATGACAGGGTACCCAGAATACTCATGCAATCATCAGAAACCCTCATAGGACCCACTTTCTCCTGCCCCAACTTCTTCTGAACCAACTCAACCAAAAAAAAACCTTCCCTAATATACACCTTTGCCCACTGACCAAAGTGTCAAGTAATCTGATTGGTAGGTTTTGTGAGCATGTTTGATCGTATGTGTCTAGATCTAGAACAGCTGTATGCATAGATTTTAATTAAAACTGCAATCTTCAACATCCTTGTACAAAGGTGGACAGGACACCCATGTTAAAATACTCTTCACCATAAACAAGTACACTATGAATATTTAAGACCTTTCCAAATCTAATAAGACAAATTTGCATTTTAAAATGCTGGTAGATTTGCAAATAACCCACTCTGAAAACTCCCCCTGACTCTCCACATATTTATCCAAAAACAGGTTAACCCAACATAAGAAAGGTCAGTTGATTACCTCGTGCATAAATTAACATAGAAAGGAGTCCTTGAATATCCTTCTGGTCAATATCATGCATACACACATATATATACACACACACACACAGTATATATTTACAATATCCTACAACACACACACACTCAGTGTATAAATACTGTATCTTTGTTTTGTTTGCTGTTGGGTGCAGAAAACATATAGATCTGAGCGGATGTTTGCCCACCTGCAGGCTTCTGGCACGTCATAGGTCCAAGAAGGCTGCAGGGCCATTCAAAGTGGATTGCACTTGCACCATGGGAAGCCAGCTGTGAAGCTGAAGGAGTAACATACATCTTCCCTTCAGTAAACATGCCAGCGCTGGGGGCCTAAAGACCGGTGAATAAAGAACTGGCCCGGATGAGGACAGCACTGGATCCCTGAACAGGAAAAATCCTTTTTAAAAGGTTGTTGTGCCTATTATTGCTGTTTGAAACAGACTAAAATCAATAAAACATATCATTATAAAAGGCTGTAGTGTAAAATACTGTATGTAACTCAGCACTTCATAAGAAAACCACTAAGATCTGAGTGCTCCAGTGGCCATGTAGATGATCCATAGACAAAAAAAAAAAAAAAAAAAAGAAAAAAAAAGTAGAATAATTTCTGAGGATACACGTAATTTTGAAGTGCTGAGATTCCAATCCAGCCTCTTAACTCTAAGCTTTGATTTGACTTTATACAGAATGGAAAACAGAATTCACACTTTTTTTAAAAAGTGATCCAGTGGTCTTCAAACAATATTACTGCCTTGTGACCTGAATATGGCAGGTGTTTTGCTTCTGTGGCTCACAGAATTTCTTTTCAAATATGAACATGACAAAGGCAATGCATGCAACAGCCTAAAACAATCTGCATGTGTTTCTGATAGCAATTTATCTGGTTTGATTACTTACTCTCCCATAGGCCACGGAGGACAGCAGCACAGTGGAGGTAGATGTCTTTGCTGATCTTTAGCTTCAAGAACCAATGCTAAATTCGGACATCGATTTGTTAAATAGTTCAAGAGGAAGATCATGAAGTTATAGATGACATAGGCTTCATAGCATTCTCTACAGGTATCCACATATATTGCAATGTCAGGATACTTAAGAGCAACCCACTGTTGTATCATTGGTAGATAATGACAGAGAGGAGGAATAAAAGCATATTCATTATTTGTAAACATTTACATTGCTGAAATACAAGCCTATTTATTACACATTTCAACAGAAAGTCATGTGATCAGACTGGGAAGTTTACATGAATACAATTGAATTACTTATCACTTGCCTGATGTCTCAGGCTCCTTTCACACGGGCGGACCGATCGTACCCTCCATTCTCCTCTATGGAGAAGAAGATGTAAACAGACCTGTGTCCATCTACCCCCGCCTACATCTGATCCGATGCAATCTGCTGTAAACAGACAGATGGGGATCAGTCTCCGTACCCCTTCTGTCTAGCGGATAAGATAGAACAGGCGGTCCGTTTACATCTGACTGCCCATAGAGAAAAGTGGGATGCGTCTGTGTCCGCTTCGCATAAGACTAGCCATCCGCCTGCTCAGCAGGGATCAGTGAACAGATTCCCCGATAAGCAAGCAGACTCCTTGTAGAGTCTACCCTATTTGGAAGGGGCATAGGGGTTTGAAAAGATGGGTAGATGTGTCATTAAGAGCAGCCATTTGTGAAATATCTGCATTGATCAATAATTTCATGTGTCATGACCACTTAATAAAATTCTAATTCAGTCAGCAAATGGATGCATCAAATAATCCAAATGGTATGCTGAAGATTTCATGCTTGTCCACTCCCAGCTGCAGGCTACCCAAGAAGTCTGTCCTCTGCTCAACATGCAAACATTGTAGAAACATGGAAGTTGCACATCAAGACAAAAGCTGATATGGAGGTTTATTATTCGTCTGGTGCAAAATGACAAAATCACCTGAACCTCCACCCTCTACGATTAAGCAATGAGCCTAATCATAGGGTCTCAATATTGGCTTTAATCTTGAAATGCGGCTTCCCTTTTCTCTAAAATGTTTGCAAATGCATGCAGCACATATGTGATGTCGACTTTGTTCCCTTTTCTTCACAGTAAAAGGAATGACTGGCCACAGATTACCTCAAATAACTGAAAGTGCTATTTACTACATCTCTACATGGCCTGTCTTGAACAATGCCTGAACTGGAAGCATCGCTTACCCTTACCAGGTTGTAAATAGTCAACTCTTAGATTGTAAGCTCCAAGGAGCAGGGCCTGCCTATCCCTCTTGTATTGAACTGTATTGTTGCTGTATTGTCTCCCGTTATATTGTAAAGCGCTGAGCAAACTGTTGGCGCTATATAAATCCTGTATAATAATAATAATAACTGTATTAAAACTTGCCCACTTATTCCTAACAGAACTTATTGACATATATAAGACGTCATATCTATCTACAATAGCAGTTCTGGAAGATAGGTTTCTGCATGCCTCGCTTTTGCTAATATAGGCTGGTATGCATTTCAGTTGAGTGTCCATTATCTGGTCTTTTTTTGCTTAGTTCAGCTGACGCATTGCATAAAGTTTACTAAATCCTTGGGGAGTAGTAGATGTCACACTTCACACGTACTTAGATTCAGAGCCAAGTTAAAAGCCTTAAGATGTTTATTTACTATAAGCATACTAATTCGGCCTGGGTAGAACCACAGGCAAAGAGCCCAAGAAAACTCATTGGAAAAAGTGTAAAAAAAAAAAAAGCCCACATCTATGAAACAAGAGAAAAAAAAATTATAGAATTTTGGCCAATGCACATTCAAATGAACAAAACTGAATATTATTAATTTAAAGGAATGTTTGGGTACTTGCTGATAACAAAATACTTGAACAAAATGAAACAATACTTACACTGTCTACACTGTAAATGGGCACCATCCATAGAATTCTGACAAAGAGAAAAACAAGAAAACTAAGAAGAATACAACTATGTTTAAAACTGGTTTGCAACCTAGGACAAAAACTACAAAGTACCTTATAATTGGTTTCTGCAATTCAGGCTGAGTATAATGAACTAAATGCTGTAAGATTCCCCAAAGAGAGATTGGTATGGTCATAAGTACAAAAATACCAGCAATAAACCAAGCCTTGGTGTGAACTCCAACCTGGAACAGAGCAAAGTAAACATTTATGATTTAGAATGAAAATGAAATCAATGTCCTTAGTTTATACTAACAAACGTGAAGTAAACTTAACTTTAGTCTTTACCACTTGGTCTAGTTACAAAAAGTGCTTGCTCATACTTTACTCTCTACCTTGTTCATTTACAAGAGGTGATTGCCTGTTCTGTTTCAGAGAAGATGTATGTGCTGAGGGTAACAGGCAATTCCAGACTAAAAACAGCTATTTATCTGTTAACTCTATTTCCAGGAATCTTCCAGGAGAGCTTACGAGACAGAGGGTCCACCCACCTAAACAGGAAGAACATGACCTACATACTATAAAATGCCTGGTCAAGCCCTCAGTCCCTCAGTTATAAGCAATTACTGAAGACCTCAGAAACCTTACTACACCCCAAGAGAATAATCCAAATTAAGCAAATATAACAGGACAAGAAATAAGGGACGGAATTACCATTGTCCTGGAAGATTCCTGGAAATAAGGTTAATAGGTATAGAACACCATTTTCCCAAGTCATCTTCCAGGACAGCTTACGAGAGGACTTGCTAGAAATACCTGTTGGGGGGGGGGGGGGGGGGGGGGGGGACCGGGGGGTTTGGCGGGGGGTTTAAGAACAGCCTGGAGTACCTTCCTCCTGAAAGCTTAATGACAGATGGAAAGGAGGTCCAGACCGTAGTGATGAACAAATGTCTGAAAACTAGTCCAAATGTCAGCTTTGCAGATCTGCTCAGAGATGTGGCTTCCTTTTCTGCCCAAGACTTGGCCATAGCCCTTGTGGAATGAGCCTGTATTCCTGTTGGTGGCATAAGAGAGCAAGCTCAGTTAGCTTCCTTTATAGCTCTCCACATCCATCTTGCAATCACATTTTTTGAGGCCCTAGCTGCCTTTCTAGGTCTGGAAAATAGCATGAACATACTGGTTGTTGTCCTCCAAACTCTAGTACTTTCAATGTAACCCAGTAAACATCTCTCGACATCTATCTTGTTGAACTAAGACTCCTTTGTGTTTGAAGGAGTCCCACAAAAAGAGGGGCTTTTGACTTCCTGCGACCTGTAAAGGACCGATGCAACCTTTGGTAGAAAGAGACAAAATATCTGGCAGGATAGTACAGTATGGTTCAAAAATTAAAAAGGCCTGTATTTCATTGACTTATGGCCAAGACCAGAGAAACCAAGAGCACTGTTTTTATTGTCAACATTCTTAAACAGTATTCTTTTCTAGGGGTTTGAAAGGTTCTACATTTTGTATCTTTAACTGCAACAGTATCAGGAACCTCTTTACTAAAGGTTCTTCCACCCACCACATTTATAAAAAGTTGGAAAGAATGGCTACTTGTGCCCTAAGGGTACCATTTGCCAAACTGAGATCTGCTCCATCCTGGAGAAACTAAAGTACCACTGGACCGATTGAACCCTCCAGTCATTTGTTAGATCTCCTCCAAAACAAGAAATTGCTTCCATACATTTTTATAAATGATGTATGTGTAATGCTTCCTGCTGTCTATAATTGTATTTATCACTCTGCAAGACAAATTATTTTTTTTTCAAGATGTCCCTTTTGGAAACCAAGCAGTGAGTGATAATCTGTCTACTGACTGGTGTGTTGCAGAATCTGGTGTATATGGTCCATGGTTCTGCTATGCTCAGCCTGCATAGATTCATAAACCATGTCCTTTTTGGCCAAAAAGGAGTCATAGAAATGATCTTCAACTTGGATATTTTTATCTTCTGTATTTTTCTCGGGACCAAGGGGAATGGTGAAAAAGCATACATCAGACTGCTGTTACAGGGATGCACTAGGGCATCTATTCCCAGGCTCCTTAGGTCTCTCTGCAAGGAGAAATAGTTGTCCACTTTTTGTTTTCTGTGGAAGCAAAAAGATCCACCTCCACCCCATTTGCTCGTGATCTGTGTGAAAACTTCTTGGTTTAAAATCCATTCCATATGCATTATACGCTTCCAGAGAGGAAGTCTGCCAGAAAATGTTATTCCCCTTTCAGGTGAATTGCCGTAATAGACAAAAAATATTTTCCTCAGCCCAATCGATCTTGTTGTGACCAGAGATGGCCTTCCTGTAGATTCTCTAAGAGCAACCCCCATTTGACTGATTATTTCACTAATTTCAGAATGGCAAACACTTTGTCCAGGGATTCCTGTTTCTATCCCAAATCAAGTGGTCAAGATTTTGGAGTGTTCTCGTGTGTAGGTGCTCCCACTGTACCCCAGGGATTGCAGCCGTCATTAGGCCTAAGAGCCTCATAATCTTTCAGATAGATGAAGTTGAACTTAGGAGCAGGTTGCAGGCATCCGGTGTCAGTTTCTGTTATTTGTTCACTGTGAGGAAGACTTTGTCTTCATTGAATCTATAGCATAGCCTAAAAAGATCACCCTTTGCACAGGGAGTGGATGCGATTTTTCCAGGTTGATTGGCCTGCCTATGCTTTGCAAAATCTGAGTTTTGGTGTGTCTGCTGAAAAGTAGCAGATTGTCCAAGTAAGGGATAATTTCTATTACTTTTGACCTTAAATCTTGAAGTGCCTCCACCAACACCTAGGTGAAGTTCCGGGGGGTGGATGCTAACCTCAAAGGAAGGGCATTGAATTACTGTTCACTTTGGACCCTTTACTGAAAACCTGAGGAGCTCCTTGAACGACTCTCTGATAGTGATGTGAATGTATGCTTCCTCTAGTCTAGTGTACTCTTGTATACTCCTGGTGACAACAAGTCCTTTGTGAAGTATATCGACTCCATTCTAAATTTCTTGTGTCTCACCACCTTGTTTAATCGTTTTAGATTCAAAGTGAAGCAAAATTTCTCCAAAGGTTTTTCTTCTTAAGAAAATGTGAGAAAAGAATCCCTTGTTCCTCTCTCCTGCCAGGATAAGACAGATCAGTCTTTGTTGCAGCAACCTTGGCAATCTTCTTCCCACTTGGCTTCCTGAATCATTGGGATTTATCAGTGGGTTTGGAAGGGTTGAAAAGGAAACACCTTTTCTTGTAAGACCAGGATTTTTTCTGCTCTTGTCTTGTCGCATCCTTCTGATAAGTTTGAAGGGGCAAACATTCTTCTTGTTCTGCGGTTTCTTGGGGACTGAAAACCTTATTACCTGTCTGTTGCACTTTCCAGATATGAAAATTCTGTCCCAAATAGATCACCTGCAAAAGGGAACCCACAGAATTTTGATTTGGAAGCTGGGTCACATGACCATGTTTTAAGCCAGATAGCCCTCAGGGCTGAGTTGACAAGAGCTGTGGTCTTTGCCATGAATTTGATTGATTTCGTGGAAGCATCTGCTATATAGACCACAGCCTTATTTAGAACTGGTAAGGATTTGAATATTTACCCCACAGGGGTCCCTTCTTCTAGATGTGAATGCAGCTGCCTGAGCCGTAAGTCTAATGTCCAGGCCACACAGGTGGTGGTTAGTGCCAGCCTGAAATTAACAGTGCTTGCCTCCCATGCCCTCTTCGAGTATCCTTCAGATTTTTTATCTACTGGGTCTTTCAGGGTGTCCGCATCCTCAAATGATAGATCTGTCTTCTTTGACACTTTGGAGAGAGATGCCTGGGACACTTGTCCCACAAGTTAGCATCTTCCTCCTTAAAGGAGAATCTTCTTTTAAATTAGAAGGGAAAAAAACATCCGTTTTTCCAGCTTCTTCTATTGCCTTAAAATGGTTTAAGGTGGAATGCACCAGGAAAGTTTGTTTCGACTTCCTCTTTTTCCTCAAATCCTCGCATGCCATGAATAGCCTTTAGCAATTCCTCAGTTTCTTCTGTGGGTAAATAATATTTTTGTGTCCTACATTCTTTATTCTCTTTGAGCTCCCCCTCCTTTGCTTTTGAATCCAAAGATAAACTAGCGTAATATTCCAATGCTGCCACAGAGCCCTGTTCTTCACTGACTACCTTGGCCATCTGCACAGCTACCACTGACACCTCACTAGAGGTACTAGGGAGTGGGTTCTGCATAGAGAACTCTAGCAGGAGGGAAAAGAGGAAATGAAAGGACTGTATGTGCCATCTCCTCTCTTATGGAGGTTTATTTACTAAAAATAGAGTACAAAATCTGGTGCAGCTCTGCGTAGAAACCAATCAGCTTCCAGATTATATTGCTAAAGCTTAATTGAACAAGCTGAAGTTAGATGTTGATTGGCTACAATGCACAGCTGCACCAGATTCTGAGTGCACCAGCTTTAGGAAATCTCTCCCATACTGTCCATAAAACCTTAAAAGAGACCTGTAGCTTCATTTGTTTTATTAGTCTGTGCAATCCTGGCATAGTGGTTTCTTTCAGGAAGCAGAAAGTTTACTCTTGCTTGATCTATTTCTTCCCAGATTTTGGCCTACAAAATAGGGCAATCCTCCATCAGACATATGCAGATCATACAATTAAAAAAAAAAAAAAAAAAAAAGAAGACATATGCAGAACCCCATTTTTTTTTCTTAAAGCACTAGATCAATGCTTTTTTTTTATCCAATGCTTTACATTGCAGAGGAGAGATGTGGGGTCTTATTGACCCCATTTCTCTCCATAAAGAGGACCTGTCACAAATTATTTCTATTACAAGGGATGCATGCATCGCTTGTGATAAGAAAAGTGATTCAAATTTTTTTCAAAGGAAAACAGTGCAAAAAAAAACAAAAAAAAAACATTAAATCATTTTTTTTTTTAAGGTTTAAAGGTGCCCCCGTCCCCCCGTGCTCGCATATAGTGGTGAACGCATAAATAGGCCATGCCCACATATGTAAATTGTGTTCAAACCACACGTGAGGTGTCGCCACGAACGTCGGAGCAAGAACAATAATTCTCGCACTAGATCTCCTCTGTAATTTTACACAGCTAACCTGTAGAAATTTTTAAAGCATCACCCATGGAGATTTTTAAGTACCGCAGTTTCAAGCCATTCCACAAGCGTGCACAATTTTAAAGCGTGACATGTTGAGTATCTGTTTACTCGCCATAACATTCTCTTTCATATTTTA